GCCTTGGATGAGGATCATTCCCCCAAACTGAAAATTTCATATAAGGCTTCTCCTTCTCTGCCTGCTCCTTGCAGCAGGACACAGGGAGCCAGAGGGGGAGATCTGTAAGCCAATAAGGTGGTGCAGAGCTGGGAAGAGGTGATGCCAAGGGGATGCACAGGGCACTTCATCCATCTGCATGGATGCTACTGGAGCCTGGACCGGGTGCAAGTTTGCATCCCCAGGCTGTGGAGCTCACTGAAAGCAGTGAAAGCACGTTTGTCCTCAGGGGATAAAGGAGCAGGGTGGGCAGGATGTGCTGTGACCATTGCAGGGCCACATCTGTAGCCCTGTGCACTTTGGCAGGTGCTGTTCCCCTCACACTCCTCTAAGGCATGGCAAGGGCTGCCTTTTCCTCCACAGCCATAGAGGAAACCCCAGTGCCCACGTCAGCAGTGCTCAGAGTCACTAACATGAGGGTCAGTGCGAGGTCTGGAGGGAGCAACACGCCTGGAGTCTGAAACACATCCTGCTCCTAATCAGCAACAGCCACCAATACCTCATCCAGTCCATTTGGGGCCAATATTGTCATTTTTCTGCAAGGTCATACAGTGAACCAGGAACAGAGTTGAGATGTTCCTCTGCTGCTGGATCCTCTCTCCCAACAGAGCTGGCAATTGACTTTGGCTTGGCTGCAAGTGTTTGTTCATAAGAGCAAAGCATCAGTGTCATTCTAGGACTGTTTAACCTGCCAGCTGTCAGGAATTCTGGGCTGGGCACACACAGGAAAAGAGAGGAGGTGTGTGTCAGTGAGCCTGCTGGCAGGGAGCATCCACCAGCCCCTTCTGAGCTGGGATGGAGGGAGCTGTGCTGACAGCTGGGCACCAGCCCATGGAAACCCTGCATGGAGAGAGCCTGCAGGCAGCCCCAAAGCTCCAACCTGTAGGGACAGGCGAGTCAAACCCAGCTGACTCCTGGCTCTGAGTGAATCCCAGGGAAGAGCTGGGGTCAGCTGGGAACCACAGAGATGGTCACCCAGCATCCAAACACCTCCTGTCCACCCACAGCTATGGAGAGAGCTCATGGAAAGTTTTCATCCTGCTATCAAAGCAAACCAGATCCCAGCTCTCATAGCTGAGCACAGCCTGACCACGAGGGTTGTGCCAAATGGGATTAAAGCAGCTTGTTTGGACCAATGGGTCCCTTTTCCCTGTTCACACTCTTGGGGAGTGTAGGAGTTTGCACCTGATGCTTGTGCTGGAGAGCCTGTTTCTTGAGGCGGAAGGGCACCATCAGAACGGCATCATTAGAACGGCAGTGTAACCCTCATTATTCTGAGAGATTTATCCTCCTTATTTGCATTACAGGCATTAAGGATCTAGATGAGAACAGGACTTCACCTACCACCAGCCACAAACCCTGTGGCTTGAAAAATATGTAGGTTAAAGAGACAGTATGATAAATGACAGGCAGTAAAGCAGTGTCAGAGCAGATTTAACAGCCTTTCTTCTCTACCCCAGATACACCAGGTACAGCTCTGGTACCAGGAGAGAAAGCAGGACACTGCTGCACCACAGGGAAAGGGCCAGTGGTGACACCCAGGCAGATGCCAGCCCTTGGGACACCAGCACACGGGGCCTCTGGGCTGGCCCCAAACACTCCATCTCAGCAAAATTTAGCGGTTTTTTACCCGGCACCTGTTTCACTGACAGGGACCGATCAAGTGCAAATACCAGCTGCGTGAAGTTTGCGCATTCAAGGCGATATTCAAGGGAATCTGTTTTCAGGGGCAAACAGGCGGACAGCAGCGCTCCCGGAGCCGTGTCCCGACGGGAGCCGTGTCCTGCTATTGCCACCTCGTGGGGCCTCGCAGCAATGACCCGGTCACCGACAGGGGCTGGCACGGGAGGGCCCGGGGCGCTCTCCCCGCAGCAGGTCCAGCAGCGCTGGGGGGCTCCAAAGGCAGCCAGAACCGGAGGGAAGCATTCCCCAGTTCACTGAATGCTGTGCATGCCCTGCAGAACAGTCAGGGTTACAGAACAGTCCTGCCCTTAGGCCAAAGGGGACATTGCTACAGGGTCCTGTTCTCTGCTCATCCCTGCAGGACCCAAAGGGATAAAAAAAGCTGCAAACACACAACCACTACCTGACCTCGCTGCCCTTGCATTGGGGAAATGTATGAGACATTCTTTGGTTGCTGAATAATTCCTCCTTTAAATCAGCAAAGGAACTAGGTAGGATTTGCACAGCCTGATAAGATTTAGCACAACCTGATAAGATTTAGCTCCTGCTTCCCACAGATTCTTATGAAATCCTAGGATTTCTCCTGTTCTGTCTACAGCCCATGACAGCTGAGACACTTACCCAGAGGTGCAGTAGGAAGGCCTTTTAGCAGCTTTCCCCTGTTCTGTTGTAGAAGGCAAACACAGAAATCTTCCAGGAGCTCTTCTGGGACTCCTGGGATTTCCAGCCAGGCAGGAAAAGCACAGAACCAGCTCTGGGGTCCAAGGGGGAGTCAGGCTCGCCCAGCAACTGGAGGTGAAGTGCGGGGTCATTGCCACAGCTGCAGGTCTGCTGGGCTCTACCACAGCCCCAGCCCAGTCCCCTCACTCACGTACTGGGAACTCTGTGAAGGGGCTTTTCCCAGATCCTTTGCTTTGCTCTGCCCTGGGAACTCTGGCTGGGCTCAGTGTGAAGGCGCCGGTGCTCGGGGAGAAGGAGCTGTCCTGGCTGCAAAGTTCATCCCTGAGTCCAGGCAATGCTGGCTGCTGCTGCTCAGAATGCTGATCCCCAGCATACACAACCACTGTCTTTTATCTCCTCCTTCTCTTGGGACTTGTTCCTCCTAAGATTGTTCCTGCTCTGCCTTGTGATTCTTGGTGATGTCAGTTCTGTGTTTAAGCCGTTGTGTTGTCACAGCCATTTCTGCTCCCACTTTTCCTTCTGCTCCCTTCTCTCTCCAGCTGCACCCACATGCTGAGGCCCTTGTGACAACCACAGCACCTATTTCACCTCTTCCTGGTAAATTTGGCCTTGGATTGTGGGCAGGGGAGCCCAGGCACTGCTCAGATCCTGAGCAGGCAGGGGACAGGATGCAGAGTGCTCGCTGGAAGTGAGGATTCTGCCTTGAAAAGGGGAGGACTGCTTTGTCAGGAATGTCTTTGAAAGGATACATGCCCAGCTTGGGAAGAGGCAGACCTGTGCTCAGGTGAGTGTCCTGCAAACAGAAATATTAATTTTCCAAGGAGGATTTTGCCCTGGGACTGTGCCTGATGGCAAGAGAATGCAGTGCTGTGCTGTCCTTGTTATTGCTCACATGAGATCTGAGTCTAATTCTCACCAGTATCATGAGAAAAACTCCTGTGAATTTCAGTGGAAATTTAATCACTTATTTCCCTGCTCAACTTAACTTCTTTTAGACCAGCTTCTTTTGTGGTAGGAAAAATATGGACTTTTCACCACCTGAAACAACTGCCTGGGACCTGTTTCTTCCCACCCAGCTCAAAACAGAGCTCCACAGCTACAAGGCCATGCTTCTTGCACTTCAAAGTCACTGTGGAGAGGGTTTATACTTGTTATTCCACTTAATGTTTCTGACTTTGAAATGATTATGGGGTCTCCTCTGAATGCTTTATGGGGTAACAAAACTCAGAAGAATAGGGCTCACTCCAGCTGAGTAAATAGAAGCTATTTTCATAAATCTTGGGACTATTGGAACATCAACAACATTATCCTGTGTGGGTTGTTATGACTTTGTGTTTGCAGATTTGTGTGTTAAAGCTCAGGCTTGTGCTTTCAGCCTTCTTCTATTACAGCAGAAACTTCAGGTAGCCCCAGAGAGGGTTCTCCAGTCCAACAACCTCTCAGAGCCCCTCTTGAAGCTCCCTGTAGCCCGCCTGGGTGGAGATCACACTGCTTTGATCACCTCCTTTTCCTTGGAGGGAGCCCATCAAACTGCCAGGGAACCAGGAACAATAATTTCCAGTGATTTTGGGTGAGATCAGCTCCCAGGTACATTCATGGCTCATGTGTGGATCCTCACCAAAGGTTCCCAGCTCAGGGCCAGCCCTGGGCCTGCTCTGGAGCTCTCCCACCTGGGCTGCATCCGTGGGCTCAGCATGGACGGTCATTCCTGGTGATTGCTGCTCTTCAAACCCACAGCTGGGGGAAGTGCCTGTGGAGATGGTGTTTTTCTTCCAAATTCAGCAACTTTTTTTTTTTTATTCTTCACAGTTTGCAAGTTGTTTGTAGCCAAAACTCACAGGGCCCTGCTCAGTTTGTTTTCCGTCTACTTTATTCTTACTCATAAGCTTAAAAAAAAAATCAGCTAATAAAACCAAAGTGTTCTGCTAGAGTTCATTATCTGGGCTGAAACACCTTCCCTTCTGTTTGATTGCCCATGGGAGGAGATGGTGAGAACCTCTGCAACCTTCCCAAGCAGGGAGGCAGAAATGGAAAGAAGAAATATGGAGCAGTTTTTCAGTTGATACAAATGGGCACAACTCCCTTGTTTTCTGTAGGGCTTTCCTGCTTTTGCCAGCTGAAGATCCATGGCTGAGCTGTCTCACAGGTGCTGGTGATGAGCCACTGATAATGCCACAACAACCTGCTGGAACACACACAGCTTCCTAGGCAGCCCTACTGTGCACCTCAAAACCCAGCTGGGTGGAGGTACAAGCAGGTGTAGCATTCCTGGTGTACTCAGGAGGACTCACAAGTACTTTAATCAAAGCTTAAACCTTGAATAATACAAAGGATGAGTGATGCCCCCATTAATTTTGCTTCCTCTCCACTTGTTGATTGTTCAGAAAAACAAGTTCATTTACAGACAGTGCTGTTAGGTCTTGTGAAGATTGTGGGTCATCCAGCTTTTTCCAGGCAACAGAAAAACTTGGAAGAGTAAGGAATTATTTCCTGAATTAATGATGCTCCCATTGAAAATCTTGGAGGGAATGGAAAGCAGAGAGGAGGACACTGCAAGGCAGAGAAAACAAGGAAATCCTTACCTAGACACGTCTTTTAAAAAATATTTATTTGTAGTGTGTATTTCAACTTACCAAAGTCAGTGCCATTAAGAACAAAAAAGTGATAATTATACCAAATAACATGAACAGTCAAAATGAGTTCTGTGGTTAAAGGAGATCTGTAAACCCAATCCAGAGCAGGCTGACAAATCTGACACAAGTATGGAGGAAGCAGAGTACACATGGACAGGAATATATGAGTTAAATCCAGAGAAATTAAACAGAACAGAAGAGTTTCCCCTGCATCTTATGGACTAAGATCTGATTTGCAGTCTAGAGCTCTATCAGAAATATGTGGCACAGTCAAAGTGACACAGCAAAGCCAGATGCACAGTGTCAGCTCATTGAACCAGGACACAGTGTGTGAAATGGTAAAAAGAAAATGTCAGAGTCTACCTGTGCTCCCACACACACCCACAGTTGTTCTGCACCTGCACTTTGAGACTCTTTGTACAACAAGATTATAAAAATGTTGAATCTTCATTGCATTGCATTGAATAGACTGAAAATCTTGAAGCACCATGACATAAATTTCTTTAGCAGAAATTGTGCCCCCATGACCTCAGCTTCTTCTTTCTAAGTTTCCATCAGTAGAAAGGGGGAAATTAAATGCAAATAACTCCAGGAATGACCAATCTGATGTTGACAGAGGGCACTCTGACAGCCCATTCCCACTTCTTTCTGTGCTGTGGGTATTTATTACCAGGACCCAGTGGTTTACATTCAGAATTTTTAAGTCTAATCCCCTTAGTTGTCCAAGACAGTAATCCCTGGAAAGGGCCCTCCATTCCTGCCTGCCTTCCACCCCTCCCCCTGCAATCTTACTTAGTAGCTTATTGTGCCCAGAGTTCACCTTCAGGATGAAGAAGTTACTTTCTTCCATATTCTTCTGTACTCACCCAAAATTTCCCTCAAAGTTTTATACCTGAGTGTATTTGTCTACCTTTTGTTCTTCCTCTAAGATCCCAGTTTCACATCAACTTAGAACAACAGTTCTTGCAATTAGGTTGGATGACTGCAGTCCAAAATTTTTCCTAGGCAAGACTCCAATAGAGTTAATTGGCTTCAGTGGGAGACTTGTCCTGAGTAGGAAAGGCAAAGTTTTGGCCTCAAGGAGACTATAAATTCCAGTTTAAAAATCAGTAGTTGTTCAGAGGCTCATTCCTGTGACAACATCATCCTTTGTGTTTCCTTTCCTAGTCATAGGAGGAAAGCTTCTGGCACCAAAATCAAATGATAATACCCTGGCCACCTCCCAAAGCCCGTTAGATCTCGAAGAAAGCGCCGTTGTCTCTCCCAAGGAAGTGTAAATCCTCCAAGACGCCGGATTTCCACGTTTTGTTAGGAAAGTGTTTTTCACTCAGGCAATAAACGGGCCCCGATAACAACTGTGCCCCTGCCAAACTCTGCAGCTGCTTTGCATGTTGCCATCAGGGCTGAAACTCCCCATACTCCCCCCTTGCAGTATTTGAGGTGTTGTCATCCATGCAGGAAGGGCACTGGTGGCCAAAGGCTGCTCACAGGGTTCTGCCCACTCAGCCCAAGTGAACCACAAGCACCAGGACAGGGGTCCTTTTCCACCACCACACATCTCCCTTCCTTCTCAGAAGCTGTAGCCCATGCCTCTTCCTCAGTGTAATTCCTTTTGTGGTAAAACATGCACATTGGGGTCCAAAATGGTCAAAATACAAGTAAAAATGTAGACACTGTAAAAAAAAGACTCTGTACCAGCTTCTTGTAACTGCATGAAACAGAGTTCTTGCTTCATATCTTGAGATCCCAAACATTTCCCATTCTTTCAATGCTTCAGTCACTGAATGACATCCCACTTGCCAAGGAAACCTTGGGAAAACAAGTCAGGCCTGTAACACTTCCTGTAGGTCACCAATTCCTGCAGGAGGGGAACGGAGCCGCTCTGACCCGAGCGCTCTGCCTGAGGCTGCTCTAGGAGTGCTCCCCTGGCCTCCATCAAACTACTGGATTTAGCTCCCCTGATGATCTCAGCTACTGTGGAACCACATGCAGAGCCTCTCACCTCCCAGACTTATGACACAAATCCTTTATGACCCTGTGAGCTAATGCAGAGGGAAATGGGACTGGCACCACCCTGTTTACAAGGCCTGTGCTCTCCATGGAGAGCCCCAGGACTGAAAATGCTGCTGCAGCCCCACTTGTGTTAGAACAGAAGTGCAGATTTAGGATAGAGGCACTTTGAGCTGTTACCCACAGGTTACAGCATAAACACCCTGTGGCTGAAGTCCCACACATCCAAGTTTGGGTCTAGCTGACGTGATTCCCCATTTTATAAAAAAGCAGAGATGGAAATGCAGATCCTGGTATCAAAGAACCCCCAGCAGTGGCAGTGTGATATCCTGTGCCAGTCCTGTGCTCCCCAGTGCCCAGGTACCTGCAGTGAACACTCCAGAACCACAAATCAGAGCTTGGTGGCCTCACTCCAGAGAAGGCAGCATCCAAAGCTGTGAGACAAGGTCACAAGAAGGGAATGGATGAGATTTGGCTTTAACTTTCTGGTCTGAAGATGAGTGAGGAGCAGAGGGTGTTTTTCCCAATCCCCATTTCCCCTCTTCTCTTCCCTCTGCACCTTCTGTTCTAACACTGGGCCAAAATGACTGAAAGACATTTGAGAAGCCTGGATCTCAATGGAGAATTGGGGCTGAGTTTTGGGGTTTTAACAGTGACTTCCTTGACACAATATTTCAGCTATCTATCACTTCAGAGAAAGACTATATTTCTAAACTGAAGCCAACCCTTCACAGACAAGTAATTTGAATTCCTCCATGTTCGCTTCCCCTGGCATCCAGGAAATGAAATATAAGTCAGAAAAATACCCATTTTGATGAGGGTTTAAACTGAAAAGTACAGATAAAATGCCAGTCACTGTATAGCACTATCAAATTTTTCCCACATTGAGTAATTCTGGTTCCTAATGGAGCTCACACTACCTACCTACCACAAAACATCTGTGATTTAAATTGTTTGATGAAATATATCTTATATCAGGTTGAAAAACATTAGAATCAACGGGACACTAAATTACTTGACTCTCTTGAGCTTTGCCCTTGTGGAGCACTGTCAGACAGCGTGTCCAAACATCTTTCCACACACTCCACAACGATTCTGAAAGTGGGTCATTAACACATTTTGTAATGTTATGCAATTTCTCCCTCCCCTCCAAACTGGGCTTTTTTCCAGGCCCAGTAGCCAACAATAAATCAATCACAGTCTCTCACAAGCCTTTTGACTTAAATCCTGTCCTGTAGGTTGGGCTGAAACCAGAGCAGGAATCACTGCAGGAGGTGAGGCAGGACAGGGCTAGTGGTGACTGCTGCTCAGGAGGTGCTTGCCTGACCCACTGCTGTTCTTGGTGCCACTCTTTGTGGACTCCTCTTCAGTGTCTGTAAGAGAATCTTCCTCCTCTTCATCACTCCGATCATCTTTCAAGTCCTAGGGAGGAGAAAGCACTGTGAACACATTTTACTGACCCCCAGAAACACACCCTGCCCCCAAAATGGAGGCTGACATCCAAGGGGAGATCAATTAACAGCACTTTCATTTTGCAGAACCAAATGTTCTTTAGACAAAACTGCTTCCATGACCTCAGCCCAGCCACTTGACCTCTTCTTGTTCAATTCTGCTTTTCCCTGTAAAGTGTGGCTATTAATCCCTGGGTGCTGTGGGATTAATTAACAGCTGTGAAGTGCAGGGAAGATGAAAAGAATATTGTTTAAAAGCTAAATATGATGAATACGCTCACCCAAACACAGGAGCTGAGAGGCTGCCTGCTTCTGACAGGTGTAAACTAAACAGTGATGAGTTGTGCCAGCATCTCCTGGCACCAGCTTTGCACAAAGATACTTGCTGACCCTAAAATGATCTTTCCTGCTCAGTGGTATACACAGCACATCAACACTGGCATGGGGGAGGCTGTGTCTGTACAGCTGCTGTGCATTTTGGGTTCATCACCCTGCTGAGGGAAGTGCTCAGGGGAGAAAGGCAGCTCCAGGAGCAGGGATGGAAGGGGTCAGCAAGGCAGGAAAATGCCCTCAGGAAAATCCCTCCCCAGCTCCATAGGGACAGCTCCTAGCATTTGGCAACCATGCTTCATCTCAGACAGTCCAAAATGGAAACAGTGAATTTCCACCACAGAGAGAAAAGTCATCACATCTACCCCGTGTTTCAGGGAGAGGTGAGACCATGCTGTGCTGTTTGTCATGGCACATAAAAACCCACATCATTAGTTTCTTATTTCTCAACTCCTGCCATAACCCAAGGCTCTAAAATGTGTTCAGAAGTTTGTTTCAAACAATTGAGGCTTCAGCATTAAACCCAAACACCCCTGTTTTCCCTTCAGTGCAACAAGCTCACAAGAGCAACACCTGCCTGGAGGACTTTCCACACCGGTGCTGCACAGACTCAGGGCAGGATGCTCTAGTGAGAGATGCTGTACATCCAGAAAACACTTCCTTCTTCCTAATTCCTGAGAGCAGGCACCACTTTTTGTGTCTCTTTGTACTGCAGGATGCTGGGGCTTCTCCTCATGACACAGCTCTGCCTCCCCAGCCTGTGCTGGAGCTGGCAGGAATTCAGCACAGACAATGCCCTGCCTGCACAGCCACACAGGCACCACTCCATCATGGAGAAATGTGCTCTCATTCCATCCATCTGCACCTCAGCTACACAGGCAGAGGCTGCTTGTGCTCCCTGTGATGTGCCAAGGTCAGAGCAGCGACACAGAGAGGAGAAACCAGGGCTGCTCCTGCCCCTCCTGTATCTGCTCTTGGAATGAACCAACAATTCCACTTCCTTAGCGTGCTGCTCTGAGGTCTTTCTGAAGCACCAAATTCTTACAGAGAAAATAAATAACAGCCCAGTAATAACTCATCCAATTGCAATCTCATATCCCTTCATATATTACACTCCTAGTAAAAGTATAGGGCTAGAAAGCAAATTAAAGCCTGAGCTCTGGCTCATCACAAACTATAAACTTCCTGGAGATTTTCTTTTGCTTTTTCCCTAACAACTTACAAAGGGTATCAAAACAAACAAATCTTACTGTAAATACTGTAAAATAAACTTGGCATGCCATCAGTTAGAGAAAAGGCAAGACAGCCTTTCCCACACAATTTATGAGGTTCTGGCTCTTTCAGATCACCTCACTCCCTCCTGGTATTTTTGCCATTTGTATCTGCAGTAAAACACAAATGCTGAGGGGGTGGGGGGAAGATTTTTGCTTTTCTGCCACCAGAAATGTTTCAGAAAGAAAAGCAAACTAATCCTAAGCAGTGTCTGATGCCAAATCCACTGCACACCCAGGAAGTGCTCTCATCTCCCTGAGGCTGCACTGTGGGCAGTGACAGGAGCAGCACTTTGGGACTCCCTGGGAATAATGTCAGGGAAGTTTGTGGTATTTCATTTGGAGTCCCTCCTTGTGCTGCACACAATTTGCTGGTGCCCAGGCATGTGCTTAAGAACAGCTGACAAACTGCTCTGCTTTGAATGATGGCCAGTTTGTGATATTGATTCCTGTTTCCTACAGGAATGAGCTGGCATTTCCAACATGGAACTGGAAGCTCAGAGTTGCCTTCCCAGTTGTAATGCTGTCTAGCTGGATGCTCTGATTAAAGCCACTATATGTAGTAATTAAAAAACATGTCATGTTTTTTTTCCAGCTCACTGTAAAACCCTGCTTTTGAGAGAACATCTTACAGATTTCAAAGCAGCAGAATTAAATTTCTTCATATTCTGAAGTAATCGCTGCAAATTTTCTTAATTCTGGGAAAGAGTGTTACTTCTGAAATTCTAATATTAATCAAGAAAAAATGCTGCTAAATTAAATCTAATTTTTATTAGATTTTGTAAAAATAAACTTGCTTCCTGACCAAGTGCCTCTACAAATTCCTGCTTTAGGAGAGTCTGGCCATTTTTGTCTGGCTTGTTTAAGTGACAGAACTTGAAATAGCAATAGCTTCATCTGTAACTGGAAATCCAAACAAACCTGTCTTTGCAAACTGTTTAACAGACCATTATAAATATATTAGGATATCCTAAGTGAAGTTTGTGCCTCTTAACTTTGACCTTCTAATAATAACAAAAGTTGTAACATTTGTAGGATTTTCTCTGCTTTAATACCAAGATGTTTTCTCTGAGCCCCTCACATCATATATTATACTCATGTTTTCCAGCTCAAAGGCTCTCTCTGACTGTCCCTGAGCAGCAGCAGATGAATGTACTATCAGGAACACAAGAGCTGGCAAACTGTAAATACCACAGCTGAGGCCATCATTAATACTCACTGCTTTAGTTTAATGGCATCAAATGCATTTCTTATACTTCAGCTGGTTTTGGGTAACAGACAAAATGGATGTGTACATTTTCTGTTCTGGATGACTAACCAATTTAATCTTTCTAAATGGATGAATGGTTTCAAGGTTTATGAGAAGCAACACTAATGCTATAAAGTCTGCAAGAGAGCCATTTGTAGTGAAGCCAAAGCTACAAACTTTTATAATCTTTTTTTTTCCTTTTGTTTAACCCTTCCACCTGCTGCTCAGTCTGCCTCTTTTAGTTAAATGAACCGTATTTGTTAAGGTAGTTTTGGCTTCTTGCATTTCACTGCTGTTAGAACATGTGTCATTGAAGCCATTAGCATTAGATAAACAGTAAAGAACCCTCTAAGTGACTTCATGGAAAAAAAGTTGGTCACACTGCAGCCAGGGCTCCATATCTGCCACAGCAGGGTAGCTCAAGTGCAAAGTGTAAGAGCAGAGGCAAAGACAGTGCCAGGCAGCGTTAGAAGGCAAAAATAAATTCTAGCAATGTGGATTGATCCTACAAACAGAGAGGAAACCCTAGCAATGTGCCTCTGCTTTCTCAGAAGGGGAATGGCCCTTGCTGGCAAATGTCAGTTCCTGTGAGGATGGGGAGGCCTGGCACAGGTGCCCAGAGGGATCTCTGGAAGTGTCCAAAGCCAGGACAGGCTTGGAGCAGCCTGGGACAGTGGGAGGTGTCCCTGCCCATGGCATGGGTGGGATGGGATGGGATGGGCTTTAAGGTCCTTTCCAACCCAAACCATTCCATGATTCCGACTGTGTCCATGTGAGTGGTGGGAGATGGTCCAGGCCTAACTCACCTGGTGGGATCAACACTCACTCCAGGCTTCTCAGTAAGATTTCAATTTGGCCAAAACTGGACAAGACTAGCACAAATTAATTTTTTGGGCTAAGCATAGATTACACCCACAAAGTTAACTGGATGTCTCCTACCAAATACTGATGTATCAAAACAATTCAGAGCTGATTGCAGAATTTTGTTTTCTAATCTGGTGAAATTCTGATTTCTGGACTTTCAAATACTTATTCTTAACATTTAGTTGGAATTTTCTGACTCTTAAATGTATCTTCTATTAAAATCAGAACCTTATACCTTAATTCTACCTTAAAAATATTTTCATTTAAACATCCACAAACACATTGACTAGATCTTGATTTTTCAACATAAAGACAGTAAATTCCACAGCACCTGCACATATGGAAACAGCTTGAAGTACAAAGATGAAAGCTATTAGTCAGGTCAGCAACCACTGCCTCAAATAAAAGAGATAATAAACAAGAGAGATTATAAAAAGTCAGTCCAAATAGATAGAAGGGGGTACTTTTCTAACAAATAATACTATAAAGTTGATGGATCTCTGAGTTCAACATGTTGAATTCAACATCAATAATTCAACTCAGCTGACATATGACTTAATAAGTCTTTACTTTCCTATTGAGACTAAGCAATATACATTTGGACTCAAGCAAACTCTTCTGTATTTCCAGCCTGGAAGATTTTATTGGAAAATACATTTCCCTTTTCAGCTCATACACACTAGGCAACATAAATAATGTTTATCTTCCATGGAAGATGCACAGCTGGACTTTGCTTTCTGCAGTTTAAAATGAAGATGCAGACTCTCTAAGTTAATTGTATTGGACGTCTTGTGGTAAAAAGTCCTCTTATTGAATCTATCTCTTCTATGTAAGATCCAGTCCCCAAGCTTTCCACTGACAGTTTTCAGAGGGAACTCAAAGAAGACTTGTAAAAAATTAAAACTTCCACTAATTCCACAATTATTGGAAAGAATAACTTTATAAAACTAAATGTTTCTACTTGAACACATCCCTGATTTTGACTGACAGGATAAATTTAACCCCACGAAAACCTGGCTGGTGGTGTCCCTGAGCACAGCACACCTGGAGCTGGGGCTGAGTGCCCTGAGTGCTCTGAAGAACCAAGGCATTGTTTGCAGCTAATCAGGCTCTGTGCTGCCCAGAGTCTGCTGGCTGAGTTATTGAAAGGCACTGAGGGAACCTCGCACGCGGCCTGCGGGGCTTTACGATAATGTCAAAGGCCCAGGAGGTACCGGGTGACTCATAATGTCCCACTGCTTTCTGAATTATTCCAAT